TGTGAAAATATTTCTCACTCTATCATAAATATTTTCACCTTGTGTTGCTGCTTCTGATGACTACAGTTGCAGTAATACTGCCTGGGTTCAGAGGTATTGTTCCCTGGGGTCTTATCCTTTCATGAAAAGAAACCTGTGGGTTCAACAGGACAGGTAACAGATGTCTGCAATCTGGTCTCTCTGTGGGGCTAGTGTCTTCTTTTTAAGCGTTCTCAGCTCAGTCACAACCAGAAAGAGGGGAGAGGTTGAAGGAAAGAGACTGACATGTCTGCCATTCAAGTTCAGAATTTTGTGTTGATGATTAGTATATATAACCAAAGAGACTCCATCACTTCAGCTGAAAAACTGGAAGAATAATGAAAATATCAAAACAGTTTGTTCTATTCAAAATTAAACATTTTGGCTTTTCAATTCAAAGCTAAAATAAGCCGACTTTAAAACAAAGGCTAAGTATATCTGAGAATGGAGCAGTTTATTCACCCCCTGGCAAATGATTTTGCTTTTAAACTGAGGTTGCCTTATGCAAAAATGAGAAAGGTTACACTGATTTTTTTTGATTTGTGGCGTTCAGTCACCAAACTGGAACTAGTACTTGCTTTCAACAGCACGTGATTTGGGTAATCTCCAATATTCAAGTGGAATAACTGTGTTCTGGCTTCTTTGCTGTGAGGTTGGATTAGAAATCTGTGTTTGCATGACAGGATTTTTTTCCCTTTTTCTTGAGGTCAGGCAAGATATGATACTATGATGACTACATTGTGTAGTGCAGTACTCAAGTTGGAACACATGGAAGAACTTGCTAAAGATTCTTTTACCTGCCATTTATCCCACCTTTTCTTTCTGTGGCTTTTCCAGATTAAACCAGTGTCACATAACACATAGGTCAAAACAAAAGTGTAACTTCCTTCACTCATATTCATTAAAAGAACATTTATTCTTTTGGACATTACTTGCACAAAGTAAATACTTCCATTACTTAAAAATTTCCCGACAGGTTAAGTGCATAGCTATTGCACAAAATAAAAGCATAATTAAGCAAGCTGAAAGGGAATCTCAAAAGTACATGGTCAAGAACACGATACAGATCGAGTTATTAGGAATAGGATCTTTTTCTACTTTAGGATTTCCTCTTCATAAAAGAGAAAAATAGACTGATGTTTGAAAATCTCAAAGATGATGTACTTAAGACTGTAAATGCACTTTGTAAATCCTACTTTAGTTTACTGAGACTAAGTAATGTCTTTTATGCTATGGGGTGCTAGAAAGTCAAATTAGCATGCCTAATTTAACTGAATATTATTTTAGAATAGTTAATATCAACTTGAATTATTTTTTGTTGAACATATTCTTTGTTTCTTTGTGTATATTCCAGTCACATAACTCATACATCTGTTATTCCCAGCATCGAGTCTATGATGTTTACACAGATCTCCCTGCAGGTCATTTTGGCCTAACTGAATCGTTATTTCAACAGTATGTCCTAGTTTAATGATACTGTTACTTGCAATGCTGTCTTTTGCAAGTTTTCTTCCCCATAGGGTTAACTCAGCCCTTCCACACTGAAATGAGAAAATCTGACCCTACCCTTAAGCAGGAGATGCTGGGAAGTGAACCCTGCTTTTTCAAGCACCGGGTTCTCAGTGCTTCAGATCTGTAGAGTGGGTAATGTGACAGCTGAGATTCAGGGTTTTATGAACACATTTAAATCTTAATGCAATGTCAGTACTGGTTTCTGATAATGTGTGCTAATGATCTGAAGACACGATTACTTAAAATGGCATATTAGGATTCATTCTTTTGACAGAGGTGGGGATGCTACTGTGTTCTCACTTCCATTCTTTTCTATTTGACTATCACCAGAAGAAAAATTCTTCTCCTGCAGATCCATTTTTAGGAACAAGTAATGAATATTTTAAAATCACTGTTAGACATTTATGCTGGACCTTATTTGGAAAACAATATGGAGCCATTCCATATTGCAGCTTACAAGTATAACATTTCCAAGTGATTTAGGCATGTATTAAGCATTTTTCAGTGAAACTTAAGCTTCTGAACACAGAAGACTCTTTTGACAAAGGGACTTCATTTCAATTTAATAAGAATCTGAAACAAACAGGTGCTTCATTGAAAAGAAATGTCACAAGGTAGCTGCTAAGTCATGTGAAGATTTAAGAAACAACAGATAACGTGGAGTTTTAATTCATGAGTATTTACACATACTTAATCTGAGATTTTCTAAAGACCTCAATGTTTAAGTATCTGTAGGCCGTTTAGAAATCCACACCTTTCTTTCTTTCTTTCTTTCTTTCTATTTTTAATGTCAGCAATACTAAGTCTTTGTGTCTAATATCTATGAACAGTTTCAAAATGTGTCAGAATTCCTAATAATTATTAGGAAACTAGCTAGCCACCTACTTCCAAAGCACTCTACAATATTGGCTAGTAATCATCAAAAAGTCCTTCCAAGCCTTGTGATATGCTCTCATTTTCATTTTGAGAAGGTAAGCAAGTACAGAAAGATTCTGCTTTCACACAAAAGTATGTGTCCGGAGTTTCCCTATTGGTATGCTCTAATTACATGCGAAACTTGGGAGCAGAGTGTCAAGGAATGCCCTCAGGAATCTGAGGATCATTACCAGGATTTAAAACAAAAGATTCTCCAATACCAAACTTAACGTAACTTACTGCACTGAAGCAAATACACCACCTTTGGGTTTCGAAAGACCTCTGCACACAGCATAAACTTAAAGTTTCTCTTCAGTGAGGAAACTTTTTACATATTCATTTTCAGAGCAGAACCTCAGTGCAAGGACCTGCTTTACAAAACTGAATGATAGCTGTAGGAGCTCAAAACCTTGGAAAATCAGGCAAGAGAAAACTAACATAGAACCACAAAAGAACCAATTTTTTAAATCACTCGAAATATTCATATGTGTCAATGTAGGATTTTCAAATGAGTAAGTGCTATTAACTATGGAGCCCACTATGAGTCTGACTTGAGCTGGACTTGCTGATCCTAAATCATTTATATTGCAGAGAAAATTCCACACTTTGGTGAAGAAAGTCTTGTGGTTTAGCAGACATCTAAAAAAGGGTTTTATTTTCACACTACAGGAAAACGCTGCTGCAATATATTATGGAGTGTTGCCACATGCAAATAACTGTTAGTGGAACAAACTATTTGTGAACTAACATCATTTGGAAAATTGTATTCAACAAAAATAGAAATCTGCATGTTTTTCTCACTACAGAAAAGAAGAAACATTTTAAAACATCAGTCTCTATTACAATACTTTGTTCAAGTCTTTACGTTCTTTTTTAGAAATGCATAATCTTTCTGAATAGCCTTTCAATACCCTGAGAATCATTGCTTTTTTCAAATTCTTTCAATATCACAGTACCAAAGCACGTAGGGACTGGAACTATATATTTTTGTAATTAATTTCCTTAAGATAATGTTAGAAACATCAGGTTCCTTAAAATATAGATGAATTTCAAGGTGAGTCTGCTAGCAGATGTTATTAATGGCATATGATTTATTGTGACATGAAATCTGATCTGAAACTCATGTTATTAGCTGAGCTTTTTATAAATTATAATTGCCAACTGCTGAAAATATGCAGAAAGACCACTGATAAACTAGCTTTATCTTCAGGGCCTAGAATATCTGCATTTGCTAAATGTCCAATATCTCTAGTCCTG